CAGACTGGCAAAGAGCTTGTATCCAAGCTTCAACAATACTGCCCACCCACATCGGATACACCTTTCTTAAACATTGAGAGCGACTTAACGCCACTTCAAGATGCTGTTCAGAGACACTTGGGACAAGATCACATCATCTGCAAGCTGATTGATCAATACAAGGCTTTGTTGCCTTCCACCGACCCAGTGCGTTCTTCTGTTGACGTCAGGGTCCAGTCTCCAGTGCATGTAAATGCAAACCCACAGCCTCATCCCTGCTCTTTTGCTTGGCATTGCTTTGCTCGCACCACATCACGGCATTGTTCTTGTGCCTGCCTGCATTGTTGCTTGCGCTCCCGGCGCACTCAAGCAAAGTTGCTGTCTTGCTTCGGTTCCACTTGTCCTTCAGATGCAGATGCCATCACTCGCGTTTCCGCTCACATCTCCACATGCTTCTTGGGGGGTTTGCCTCGTTCTCTCTTCTATGCTTGAAGTTGTCTGTCGCAATCAAGGCTTTAGAGCACTGGCACTTGCCTTCACCAATCGCGTCATCACAACTGAGAACCCTGCTCTTTAAGGAGGTGAAGCGGGTCATTCCCCACTGCTTGACGCCAACCACAGGGACAGCTTGGCTTGCCAAGATTGCACTTGAGCTGTGCAAGGCTATCGCAGGAGCACGTGTGCCTCACGTGTCTCCTGCACTGCGCATGCGAGTCCTGGCACGCCATATCAACAAGAAGGGAGCGAACTTCTTCGCCACAATTGACACTTGTGCGTCAGATGAGGCTGAGGATTTACTGCAGCTTACGTTTTGTCCGTTCCGGCTCGTGACTGACAGGGACAAGGCACATGGTTTGCGCACCATCGTTGCCCTGTTACACTGCACCGACCAATTGGCGGCATTTCAGGAAGCATCGCGGCAGCTCGTCCTTGCACTTAGTATCATCGTGCTGGTCCTCCACTCAGGGCACCCATTCAACATCCTTTTTGATGTGGAGGCTAAAGACGCGCCCGCGTTCTGGTCTTGGAACGGGTTTGACCAGCATGATGACATCAAGGTTGACCGCCTCTTGCTTGCCATGGATCAGTGGATCCAAGATGACAAGAAACGGCTTCACCTTGACGAATGCAGGAAATTGACTAACATTCCCGAGCTGCGTTCTTGGTTCCCTGGCAAAGACGTGGGCGTGTTGGCCTTCAGAGCCTTTCTCGGTGGCGCAGCGTCTGTGGCGGAAGCTGTCGTGCACGCTGTCAAGCCGGCACCCTCAGCCGTGACAGCCATGTCTTCAACTTCGACAGCCCCACCACCACCACCACCACCACCCTCCATTGGCAATCACCTCATGGCGAAGCTGAGATCTCTGCTGCAGCCAGCTGATTTTGCGCAGGACCTCAACAGCTACACCCGTCTGCTCTTGCAAGGTTCACGCTTGAAGATGCTTGAAACTTTCGAAGAGTGGCTGAGGCTGCCGTCAACCGCCCCTGAGCGGCGCGTGCTATGGATTCAGGGCACGGGCAGCATTGCGCGATCGGGGACTGCCGTGCAGCTGGTCAGACAATTTGGACATTTCGAGCAGCGTGGTGATGATCCAGGTGAACTGCAACCGCCACATATTGCTACCTACTTCTTCTGCAAGCGCGACGAGACCTGTCGCGAAAGCGTGCACAAGATCATCACAACCCTTGCATTCGCGCTGGCCTCGCGGCTTCCTGCAGTGCGAGCAGAATATGCATGTATTGCCCAAGACGAGGAGCAGTGGGAGAAGTTCTTCACGCGTGTGAAGCGGGGTCCCTTGTCGGAACTCGTGACTGTGGCGCTTGCTCATCCGCTGGAATCAATGCTTGGCAAGCAACGCCCGCACACGCAAAAATATGGCGTCATCATTCTATTGGATGCAGTGGACGAATTGCATGCCGACGACGCCCGAGAACTGCTGCAACTCTTGGAGCGCCTTCCATCGGCTGTTCGCTTCGTTGTAACGTCCCCGCCAGACGGAAACACGGCAGAGTTGCTCAACAGCATGCATCCTCTCGCTGTCAACGCTGATGATCATCTCAAGGCAAATCTTCAGGCAACTGCCCGTGAGAAGATTGTTCAGCTCACAAGCCTGAGCTCTTTGGACTGTGACGGCAAAGACCGAGTGGTGGACATGATCGTTCGCTATGTTTCGAGGCGAGCAAACGCTGGCGATGGCGACAAGGCGTTTGTAATTGTCCGTGCAATTTCCCGAGCTGTTGACGAAGCCGAGGCAGAGACGACAAGATCGCTCACGATGGGGGACGTGCGCCGCATCTTGGCTGATGATGAGGAGAGCAAGTTGAGTCTACCCGAGCGGCAATATGCGCACACGCTTTCCCGCATTCAGGCACAGCTTGATGAAGCGGCTGGTGGGGATACAGAGGTCAAGAACGCGTTACAAGGCGTGCTGCGTGGAACGTTGGCGGTGGTGGCCGCAAGCAAGGAGCCGCTACGTGCCAGCGACGTTCACGAGCTGTGCGGCGGTGAGCGGGTCCAGAGCAAAGCCGTCACGCGGCGCCTGCTTGAAAAGCTCTCACCTCTCTTGACGTCTGGCCACGCATCTACAGACGTCATACAACCACTGGACAAGAACCTCATGTCATTCTTGACGAACCAACGGCGAGCTGGAGCGCATTGGGTGGACACGCGAGAGGGCGATGCCATCCTTGCGCAGGCGTCTATGCGTGTGATGAAGGAGCGAGGCCTGCTCGAAGAGCATGGCGATCGAAGGCTGAAGGACATGACACATGATCACGAGATGCATGACCTTGTGGAGGGGTACGCGCTTAAGTATGGGCATGTGCACCTGAAGCAATGCGTGCGTGCATTGAAGGAGGGCAACCTGAATGAGGCTGTGCGACAAAGCTCTTCACGTGCGCTGAGGATGTGGACACAACCTTTCTCTGCCCACATTCAACATCCGGCCCACTCACATACGACCAAGACCTCTCGTGCCCTATTTGACTCCAAAAGCCGTCCGACGTACGCTGCAACGCCAGCGTTTGCTCGGTGGCTGCTACTGGCTCACAGAGTACCTCGACCCCAACCCTTCCACGTGCAGTTGGGGGAGCTGTCTTCCACGGTCGGTGCTCGTGGTCATAAAGGCGGTGGTGCGCTGGGCCGTCGTTCCTCCTCAAGCACAAAACGCCCCGGTGCCCACGTTAAGACCAAACTGTCTCATCGTGATCACCAACGCCTGCAGCAGTTTGGGAAGCTGTTGAAGGACACAAGTGGCCTTTACAGTGAGCACTGGGCCCCGCACGAAGACGCTGCCACTGGGATTGGTCAGTTTGTTGAGCAGATTCCCATCAAGTTGTCATCAACGTCCTCGCTTCAATCGTCTGACTTTGTCTCAACGCTGTCCAGTTTTGCTCATGCTGACTCTCCACAAGCTCACTTGGGAGGCATGGGTGGTTTGGGTCGGGTTCGTCCACCATGATCGGGTGGCTTGTGATGTGTGTGTGTGTGTGTGTGCAAATTGTTTTGTTTGCTGCTGTTGGGTGATTTCGGTTCATAGGCTGTTCAGTTGTTCGTTTGGCCATTTGTTTGTTGCATTGTTTGTTGACTGCTGACATGTATGCATGTTACTAGATGTTAAGACTGAAACGAAACACGCCAAACAGCACGAACAATTTCGTGCACTGACAGGCCGCGCCTGGTGCGCTGCGGCGTTATCGGTCAGGGTCAGGTGTGGGATGGGCACTCGGATGCCCTGTCTCGCTGGTTGATGCGGCAATCGACAAGCTTGAGCGTGTGGATGCTCTGCTGGCTGCAAGCAACGCGCCTACGCGCTGAGGCTCTGCTGCTCCGACCACGCACCAGGTGTCCAGTGCTCTTCGTTGGTTTGACGCTGCGGTTTGTGAGGATTGGTGGATATTTTTGTACGAAATTCAGCAAACAGCTGGAACACGACGACGATGAACAACAACAACTCGACGACAATGGCGGATGGTGGTGTGCGCGGCAGGGCAGTGTTGGAGTTGGTGCGCGTGGCACCGCAGGCGCAGGTTGTGCGAGCAGGCCACATTGAGCTGGCGCAGCAAGGCACAAAGATGGGTGAGGAAATGAAGGGAAATGGGCGTGTTTGCGAGAAGTGGCAACGTAACGGAAAGGCGCGTGTGTGTGTGGGGGGGGGATTTTGTTTCGTTGTTGTTGCGCTCTGTGGTTGGTGTTTGGTTTGCACTGTGATGTACGTGCTCTGGTTGGAGTTTGGTTGTATGCTGTATTGTGATGTTCTCTGGTTGGAGTTTGGTTTGCACTGTATTGTGATGTTCTGCGGTTGGAGTTTGGTTTTATGCTGTATTGTGATGTGCCCGGCACTGTACTGTTTGTTGATTGCTCACTGTTGATACGCTATCGTATGGTGTGTGTGTATTCAGGGTACTCGCACACGACGTGGAAGCAACGGCTGTTCAAGCTGAATGCGACATCGTTGAGATACTACAAGAACGAGAAATCCACAACGCCCAAAGGCATCATCACGCTCACCCCTTTCTGCCTGGCACAGGTGTGTTTGGGCGTGCGTGTGTTGTGGTGTGTTGTGTTGTGTTGTGTGTTGTGTTGTGTTGTGTTGTATGCTGTTATTCTGGTTGCGGTTGTTGTGAAGCTTTGAGTGCACGTGCACCCCCCCCCCCACCACACACACACACACATACACACACGAATGTACATGTTCGCCTCCATGCACGCATCCACTCTGCGCCCGTGGCCAAAGCCGTGCAATCGCGGAGACTTGCGGGCGCTGAACAGCAGCGCGTCGGTGAAGCTGGTGAAGAACAGGCCCGTCCGTGATCGTGTGAATCGCGACAACGGCGTGGCGCTCCTCGTGCCAGAGGAAAACAGGACCTACTATATCCACTTCCAGTCCACCCGGGTCAGCAGGAATGAGGGGTCGGGGGTTTAGGGGATTGGGTGAAAAAGGTGGTGTGTGTGTGTGTGTGTGTGTGTGTGTGTCTGTGTGTGTGTGTCGTGTGTGTGTGTGTGTGTGTGTGTGTGTGTGTGT